CCCCTTTTTTTTCATAACATAAAGGAAAGTCCCACAGCAACAAACAAATAAATATTCCCTAAATCCAGAAATATAAAAACTCTAGAAGAGTGAATTTTGAACTCGGGAGAAAACCCCGAAATTCAACAATTATTTAATTATTGTTATTGAAGATTTCCTCTAAATAAATTTTTTACTGTTTGTATTTCTCAATTTTGTAAATAATTTGCTCAACGTGTGGTTTATTCCCATTTTATTCAATTAATTTCAATGATTGTGTCATAACCTGTGACTGGTAATTCGCAATATTTTCAGTAATTATTGATTCTGGGATTTTATAAAAATAATTGAGTGGACATTGGTGAATGAAAAACGGAAAAGTCCGTCAATTAATCGGGTGATGTATTTCTCGTGGAGAATGATAAAAAAATATTACCCCTAGAGTTTTCAATTAATTCAACTTTTCATCAAGAATACATACCCATGACCCATTTCTCTTCGTGTACCTCGGAAATACTGACGGAAGAATATTTTTATTCCGAAACTCCGGTGTTTGTGTATTTCGAAAAATAATTGACTGCAATTTTTTTCACTGAAAAAATAATTCGGACCGATCAATCCAATTACATCGACAATTGATTAATTTTTTCCAGAGGCAATCGAATGAAATCATCAAGAGTTGATTAGATTGACCCACTACCCTTGTTTCCCAACCTAGATTACACATCCCTGCGTCTAAGAATAATTGGATGAGCCGTGGATAAAGAATTTCGCCGCCTTTGACATTCTGCCATGAAATTCATTCTCTACACATCACATTGCGTACACCTATTCTAATCTCCCCAAAAGATATTTAATCACCCGGAGACTAAAGAATCACCAATTAATTCCATAACCATTAATTATGAATTCCGTAATTTCCATTAATTAAACAGTTACAGCGAGTGGCAATTTCTTTTGACTCACTATCAGAAAATTGCACCAAATAAAAAAAAAACATTTTGCAATCAACAGGGCGAGTCATACGATTGATAAGAACTCATTAATCCCTAGATATACACCAACCAGATGTATCGTAGCGAAAAAGATATCGGGATTAATTCGATTTTTTTTTAAATTTCAATAACTCGATCGGTAAATTTTGACGGGTAAATGGAATTTGCGGTTGTAATGCAGAAATATGTGGGAGATAAATTGGAGTATTGGTTTATTTATCAATTGTTACTTCACATTTATTGAATATTTATCTTCTTGTGGGGAAAATAAAAACGAAGGGATGAGGTAATTCTGTTGCGGTCACGTTGAGATGCCATGGGGCCCCTAGTTTCTTTTAGCCCTCTGGGATCAAACACTTCATCGTCACGATAGGGGGTTTAGGGGGTGAAATATACCCCTAAAACGTATCAAGAGGTTTGGGGGTGTGTGACACGTCGAAGCTCCGGGGATTATCGGAACGTTAACGATACTAAAAGCTATTTCACGCTCATTTGACGGCGATTTTGCCGAGGGATCATTTTTTCTTGTTATTTACCAATCAGGATTGATTGGTGATTGATTAAAAGGGATTAATTAAGTTGAAATTGAATTTTAAGGAAAATTACGAGAAACTACGAAAATTCGTAAAATTACTGCTTTGCTATTTTTACAAATAAATTATTACAGAGTTTATTCGAAATTTGGGGGGAATTGATATTTTTATTTATTTATATAATTTAATTGTTGGGGATTAATGGGGGAAATTTCACGTTTTTGCAAATGTGTTTTTGATTTTTTGATATTTCGGGTGAAATTCGAATTTTATGTCGTTTATTGTTAATTAATTTTAATTCCAGCTTGTTCGGGGTATTCTTGATCCATTCAAAATTGTCAGCCATGCGGGAAACAAAAGCTGTCTCATCCAATCGCCAGATAATCTATTTCAATTCATTCGACCGTGACACTGTGACAAGACCAATTCAATATTTCCACTGGTGTTGATAACTTCATAATAGAATTTCTTCTATTGATTACGAATGAATTTATTGACAATCATGTTTTGTATTATTTTCAAAAGTAAAATAGTCGGACAATGCAATTTCTGTAATTAAATCTGATTTTTATTAATTAGAATTCAAATCTATTATAA